TGGCCTCCTCAGTAGCTGGGATTACAAGTGCATGCCACCACGCCCAGCTAATTTTTGTATTTTTAGTAGAGACAGGGTTTCTCCATGTTGGTCTCGAACTCCCCACCCCAGGTAATCCACCCACCTTGGCCTCCCAAAGTGCTGGGATGACAGATAGGAGCCACCACGCCCAGCTACTTGTGCCTTTTGACCAACATCTTCCTCCCCTGCCACGCCCAGCCCCTGGTAACTGCCACCTAGTCTTGCTTCTAGATCAACCACTCTTTTTTTTTTTTTTTTGAGACGGAGTTTTGCTCCGCACACCCAGGCTGGAGTGCAGTGCTGCCATCTCGGATCACTGCAACCTCCGCTTCCCGGGTTCAAGCGATTCTCCTGCCTCAGCCTCCAGAGTAGCTGGGATTACTGAGCCACCACACCCAGCCAGGAGATCCACTCCCACTGACCCTCACTGGTCCGTGGCTCTGGGGGCCACATTCCCTAAGACATAACCCACACTGGCAGCCTTTGTTCTGACCTCTCACGTGTGGTCCCCACCTGCTGGAAACCGGCTTCTCTGCCCACACTTCCTCTGAAGCTGTGTGTGTGACCAACCCTGATGAGCTTCCTGGAACACAGTGACCCTGCTCAGTCCTTCTCATTATTGCTTCTCCATCGTATTTCACACGTTGACCACTTCCTCCTCGAAGGTGTCACCTCGTTGGCCTTCTCGGACACTTCTTGCGACTCATTTTCTGACAGTTTTACCAGCACCAACAGGTTTACCGGCACCCCCACCGCCAGAGCCAGTCCCAGCTACGCGGGAGGCTGAGGCAGGAGAATCGCTGGAACCCGGGAGGCAGAGGTTGCAATGAACCGAGATCGTGCCACTACTCTCCAGCCTGGGTGACAGATTGAGAGTCCTCCTCAAAATTAAAAAAATAAATTAGTCTCGCTGTGTCGCCCAGGACGGAATGCATGCAGTGGTGAGAACATACGAATTTTGGTTTTCTACTCCTGGGTTACTTCACTTAGAATAATGGCCTCCAGCTCCATCCCAGTGGCTGCAAATGACATTTCCTTCCTTCTAATGGCCGAACAGTATTCCATGACGTATAGATACCACATTTTACCTGCTTGTTAGTCAATGGGCACTTCCGTTGGTTCCACATCTTTGCAATTGTGAATTGTTAAGTCAGACATTCTTTTTTATTAATTTTTTTTTTTTTGAGACGGAGCCTCTCTGTGTCTCCCAGGCTGGAGTGCAGTGACACCATCTCAGCTCACTGCAAGCTCCGCCTCCCGAGTTCACACCATTCTCCTGTCTCAGCCTCCAGAGTAGCTGGGACTACAGGCA